CAGCAAAACCTATCGGTAGGTCGATCAAACACATATTGGTAGGCTTTATTCCAATGAGCAAAAAGGTTTGCGGTAGATCCAACTCCAGTGCACAAAACTTAGCGGTAGTTTTATGAGCAAACCTACCGGTAGGTTTTTACTTGATTTGCTCATTCCTTGATAGTTTCACCTTCCAAGTCACCAGTTAGGCCACCCCTTCATCTCTATTGACTTTGAGCACTATAATGGGGGCATAACTCAAACCATTTTCAACTTTTTACCTGTAATCACACAAAAACTCATTAATTGCTTGAATAATCGCATTTTCTCCCATTTCCACCACAACACAAGTATAAAAGGGGTATAAATGTATACATGATGTGCAATATTTTGTGCTAATAAAAAATGTGAAGATTTCCAAGTCAAGAATGAAAATTTTTCATGATAAGAATATTGTGCAGAAGTCCTTTGTGCCCTCTCAAATAGTCATGTTATATAATTCAAGGCTCCGCCTATTTCCTGAAAAGTTAAGGTCAAAATGAACAGGCCCCTATATCGTTAAACAAATTTTTGAATATGGGGTAGTTGAAATTGAGAATCCATTAATTGAAAATATTTTCAAAGCAAATGGTCAAAGACTTAAGCCATATCATGATATATTTTTTCAAAATATGGATTCCATTCAATTAATGGAACCAAAATAAGTGCCTTGAAAAGTTTGTGTAAGTGTTTGATTGTAAATAGTAGTACTAACTGTTTACTATTTGCTTTTACAAATTAGAGTTTTGCATTATGGATTGGTCTCACCTCCAGATCTTATTAGAAATTGTCTATAATTTTACTTTATAATGTCATACATTGAGGACAATGTTAAATTTAGGTTGGGGAGGGAACAATCCATATTTGAATTTGTGACCGGCATACGTTAAAGAACCGGATAGTGAGTCTTTTCTAATTTATTTTTCAAAATTTTTCAAAAAAATTTTGAAAAATGGATGAAAATTTTTTTTGGATTAGTTTGGGTATGTTATGTACTTTTCCAAAATATATACATTATTTGATCATAGCAAAAGCAAAGGTTCTTAGAAAATTAGAAATTTTTGGTAGTCAAGCAAAATCATTGTGAGGGAAAAGTTCATTTCCCAAATGCCGATGAGCAAATTGACTCGGTGAATGTTTAAAATGCGGTCGATTAATTCATATGAGAGAATATAATCAATATGCTGAACCAATTTCAGATTGAGCATTAGATCGTCTTGATTGGATTAAGTATGGATAGAGTAAGGATTACCCTAAGGTACCATCTTATTATTGTCCCATGCTTGCAAGATGTATGCGACAGGAGGTTAATTGGTTCATTAATGTTCTCAATTTAGAAGATTCTGATTAAAAAAATAAAATGACCATAGATGTATAATGTTAGGACTTGTATGAATGTATATAACTATATGGTGAATTTGTGACAGTCATTAGAGCCTAAGCTATACCGTGGACTCTAAACCTCTTTCATTCTCGCAATGGAAGATGATAGACTCATTTCCCACAAGGCCCATATAAGACCTATGGCCTATGCTCTGATACCAAGTTGTGATGCCACAAAAATTGGGGGTCCTTTATTAACTGTTGATCACCCATCAACTTGCAGAAGAACCCGTGATTGTCGCACAACCCAACATCACGTCAATATCATCCCCTTAACTAAGATCATAACTCACACGTGTAACCTTCATACACTTTATCATTTACTAATCCGTGATCCTTTATACATCAATTTAGAGTCATTAATATTCCATATAACCTCTTTGAGTACAAGGAATCGATGCCCTAAGACTTAGTAAAATATTTAAAAATTTTGAAGTTTAAAGAAAACCTACCAGTAGAAGTGTTCAAAGTTCTACTGGTAGAAGTTGTGCATTGGACTTCAGTTTTTAGAAAATCTGTGAAAACCTACCAGCAGAAGAAGTCCCTGTTCTACCGGTAGAAGAAGTCCTTGTGCTATAATTCTTCTACAGGTAGATATTTTGTCTAGAAACCTTTCACGAGACTATAACTCGTTCACTAGAAACACCTAGTAGTTTAAAGGCTTATTGCATATGCTAAATGAAATCGTGAGTCCTATGAAAGTAGATGTTTGTTATTTCATTTTATTTTTTGTATGCTTAGGATTTTGATATTTACTAAAGGCTAGTAAGATGTAGGTTGAGGGGTGTGATTCATCATGACAACTACCATTATTTTTTAGCTATTAGATTAATTATTCTTTGATTTGATAGTTTTATGTGATTTATAATGTTTTGAAGATTTTCAAGGTAAAATGATGTGAGATAAGTGATTTGGTTAAATAACCAATCAAGAGGAGAACAAAGTAAAGTCAAGGGGGAGTTAACCTTTTGGGGGATTTCTTCCAGACTTTCTTCGAACCTTATTTCTTATTTTATTGAAGATCTTGCTCATGGCTAAGGAGTAATTCTCTTTCTTTTCTCTAGTTAGGGTATGGTTTTCATGATTATACTTTGAGTATTATATGAATTCAATTATATTTTCTTGTTCTTGAATTAATTATATTTTCAAATATTTCTTGATTGAATGAATGATTTTTATCACAATAATATACTCTATAAACTTATTTCATTAGTTATTAACAGGATTTAGTTCTTGGTATAATTAGTACTTATAATACGTCTCAGTTCTAGACTTTGATGATGCAAGAAGATGAAATATTTAGGGAGTTTTACATGAAATTGTGTGATATTGTAAATTCATCTTTTGCATTAGGTACCAGGTTGGTGATACATAAATGAAAATCTTGAGATCTCTTTGGTGTTGGTAGATAACCTAGAAAGGGCAAGGTCTCCAATGCTAAGAATGTCATGGTTTTGGATATATAGTTGTGGAATGTCCCAATGTAAAGAAAAGGGACATTCCCAAAGGAAGGAGGAGAGTGATGAATCCTCTTCTCAAAGTGATGAAGAGAATTTCATAGCCTTTGTTGGTTCACTTGCCTCCCCCCAAGAGAAATTTCAAATGTCAGAGTTGAGTCAAGTACTACCACAAAGATAGATGACCTGGAAGTTGAAGTCTTTACCAATGAGGATGAGACTGAAGGTGTTGAGGACCTACAAGATGCATACAATCAATTATATGAATAGTGTCTTAAACAAAAGAAGAGATTTTTTTCATTGAACACAAGGCTCAACTCAAGTGAAGGTGATAAGAAATCATTTCATATGGACTTAGTGAGTGATGAACGCATAATAGTGCATATTTAATGGCCACATTACATTCATTTTAACTTAACTTTTCATTTAATTACTTAGATTTAGTTGAATTTATGAATAATGTGAAATTTTTTATGTTGCCGGTAATCTTAGTGTAAATGATGGCTTTCGGAACCCTACAAATAAGTGTGGATGAGCGGTGAAGAGATGGACACATTACGTGGGGATTGAGAGGCTTTAAAGTGAAAGAAATCAAGGAGGTAGTGGTATTTGGCATCATAGGCACCGATATCTAAGCCTACTTGAATTTTTGTACCGGCACCCGCATTGTTTGGTATTGGTACTTCTGTATTCCCAATTTTTGACCATGATCCACTTCGAATCTGAAAAAGTGTAAAACATGAAAGTTGTAGATCTGGAAATTCAATGTCTTATGTAAATATTTCAGCTCAATTGGACAATTAGATCAAAAGTTATGATAATTTTATGAAAACTGGTCTTGAGCTGGCACCTTCCGGAAGACCTACTGATAGGTTTTGCCTATTGGAAAAAACCTACCTGTAGGTTTCATCGTTCTACCGGTAGAATTTGCCCAGAAGTACCACAACTTGCTCACGCAACTTCACCAACTTTGGGGGGGCCACCTATGCTTCTCCCACGCCTACCCTGACATATTCTACATATATACATGCCTCCCTACATTCCTAAAGTCAACTTTGGAAGATGAAGGATGGGATAGGAGGAGAGAGAAGGAGGAGACATGGTGGGTTGCAGGCTAGGCTTGTCCTAGCCTGTCCAAGCCATCAACTCACCTCCCATTGATGGCAGGCCTGCACACACATGGTAGACGAGCCCTATGGACGAAATTGAAAAGGTCTTACACCATATATTCAACATTCACACAAGTTTTTGAGGGAGGGGGAGGCTACTTAAGCCTAGGAGTAGTTTTAGTAAGAGAAGCTCCCAAGGAAGGAGATGAAGTTCTAGAGATAGAATGATTAGATTTTTTCATTTTCTTTACCCATTGTTCTTATATTTTCACATTTTCTACTGGATATGCTCTGGAACTTTTCCATTTTGGTGTGAAATGAATTTTTCTTTGTAGTTTTTCTAGCATCAACACAACTTCTAAGTTTATTTCATCTCATTTTTATTTCCATTTCTTCTACATGTCTCTTTATATTTTGCATGTCTTCCTTTTATTATGAGTAACTGGATTGTTAGTTGGCTAATCCAAGGGAAATTTCCTCTTGGGTATGTGAAATTGACTCTCGTACATTTTTCCTCGTAGTGAAAGGTGGTTTGGTTTGACTAAGTTGAGTGTGGACATGGTTGTGAGCTATTGATAGACCGTAGACTTGTCATGGGGTATGTTTGACCTCTCACTTCCATTTTGGTCCCTCGCTTCCTACGAATCAATCAAACACCAATGAGCCATTGGAAGAATGTTTTGAGTTGATTTGACATTCCCATTGGAATGACCTATTCGGATTAGCCAACCTTGTTTTTATTGCATATTACCAAAAAAATCTTCACTCACCAAAACATAAACTCAAAACATTTTACACTTTTTCAATTTTACAAAATCACCTTCACCACAATTTGACCTTCCTTCCCTGAGGAAAGGATATTGGAATACCCATTCCAAGTAAAACATGACACTCGAAAGTCTCTCTATGCTTGGGGAGCATTTTTGCACTCACACACACATTTTGTTCATTCACACACACGGTTTTTTCATTTCTTGCATCTTCCGAGGGAGGGTGACACTCACATATCATTATAAGCCATATACATGACCAGGTGCTATTCGAAGATTAGGGCCGATGAAATAATTTCAAACAGCAAGTCCAAAGCTCATATTTATGAGCTTAAGGAGAAAACGAAGTCCCTCCAAGACAAAGCGAGCTTTCTTGAGAGTGAGTACAAAGGACTTTTAGAGTCAAAGAAATGTCTTGAGTTTAATCTTGTAAAACTTGATAAAGACCTTCATGAATCAAATAAAATCTTTTATTGAAAAGACTTTCACTTGGTTCAAAAAAATTGGAAAAGATGTTATCCATAGGAAAAAGTGTTGGTGACAAAAGAGGATGAGGATATACTAATGAGCAAGCACTTAAAAGAAGAAGGTTGATAAAAAAACTCAAACCAAATCATTTATGTGTTTTATTTGTGGTGAGCATGGCCACTATAGTTCACATTGCATTCATAGTAGGAAAGGCTTTGAATAAGAAGCTCATGCATCTACCAAACCAATCCAAGGCTTTGAACAACCAAGTCTTAAATTTTTATATGCTTTGGAAAGGCCAAATGAGTCCAAGCATACACATGCATCATCATAAAAGGGCTCACATGCTAGAGTGTAAAACTCCTCCACTCGCAATTTCGAGATTGATCTACGTATTTCCAGAGGGAAGAAAGTTAGTTCTCCACCCATTCCCCAAGTAAACCTGAGTTTTTGGAAGGGAAAACAAGTCTGAGTGACTAGGGAGGACTTTGAGAAACTCACCATCTCAACCAAGTTAGATACCCTAAGTAGTTCCAACACGGTCATGTCACCTAAAAAGTAGGTGAGGTGAGTAGTACAAAAATACATTGGAAAAAGAAAAGGCCAAAAATATTTTATTTTATTTATTTTTCTTTGTTATTGATATGGTAATTCACACTTTGCTTTGCTTTATAATGATTTTATCTTTAAATCAAAGTTGAAATGTGCATTGCAATGAGTTATATTAGTGGATAAAGAACTTAGGGCTCGTTTGGTTGTTGTATTATAGAGAGTATTGGGGAGTTGCATAGGATTAAAATACTTTAATCTGACTTTATACAACATTTGAATGCCAAAATTAACTCAGTATTGTGTATGGTATTAAATCAAATACGTATACCAATTGTATATTTCTAATACCCTCTACAAGTACTATTAAGCTTATTTTAATTCCACCTGGGAGGTGGTATTGTAATCCTATCAAAAAGTATTATAACGTTATTTTTTTATTGTTTTGCCCCAAAAACTACTATAAATCTTCCACGTCTCTTGATCAGATAATGGCTCTGCCCACTTACCTCTTTGACTCTCTCACCATCTAGCTCCATTGAAATTGCTTCCTTATTTCAACAAAGATCTTCTTGATTTCTACCAAGTGTTTTTTTTTTTTTGTATTTTATCCATCATCGAAATAGGTAAGTACTTCTTAATTATAGTGGGCTTTTTTTTTTTTTTTTTATTTTCTTTCCTTTTGGATTCATTCGGCAGATCTATAGACAATCTAGTTTATGTGCACAAACGGTGAACAAAAGTTTTCTTGGCAATGATTGTGTATAAGTTCAAGAAAAAAAATTTCTCGTCAATGTGTACAAAGGGCACCTATTGGGTGGGACGCCCCTAAAATTGGGGGTCCTTTATTAACCGATTGATCATCCATTAACCTGCGGAAGTACCTGTACATGCCGCATAACCCAGTGCTACATCATCACACGACCATTCCAAGGTCCAATGTACATCAATTTTTTCTTAATATTACTCTAATTTCATCCTTTAAACTAGAAGACCCAAGGCCCGGAGTCTTAGCCAAGTTATATTTAAATTTTGAAAATTTTGAAAGAGATAGCTGTACCTCGTACACATGGTGTAACGCCCCAAAATTCACCCTAAAAGCATTACTATCTAAAAAAAATCCAATCATGAGAACAACTACAATACCCATTAAATAATAAATCATTCATCCATCTTTCAAATAATAAATACAAAATTTAATAAAATATGATAATTTCTCTAACTTACAATTCAAAACCAAATAATATCTAGTAGCGGAATAATAAAACTACTAAAATATTGTTTCACAAAAATCTCTCCAAATACAATAATCAAAACTAAAAAAAAAGTCTCCATGCCTCCACTTTAGAATCCTCATACGAACCTTCACCAGACTCGAGATTAACCTGCTCGTCTAACTCGACATCCTCCTTGCTACCAAAATTTGTAATGTGTTATAGGGGGTGAGCAAATGCCTGTAGGAATTCCTCTCAAATCCCAACAAGGTTTTAAAGCAACAAAAATAAGGTACGTCTCTTTTTAGAAAATAGCATATGTAGCATTTTGAAAGTGAAACAATGGCAGATATATTGATCTCAAGTGTACGAAAATACAATAAATCAATGAAAGGAATAAACATGTTATAATTAAAGCAATCAATTAATAACTCGCTAGCATCATCTTATATTCTCATGTATGTTGGTTGATTCTCAGAAATCTACACAACGATTCTACCTCGTTCACCCATCACAACCACACAATCTCAATCATTCCCTACACGACCAAATCACAAACCACTTTAGGAATGACATATACCGTCTCCCACGGCATTGAAAAATTCTTCCTAGGAAAGGTATACTATCCCTCAGCCTCGGACCTACTTGAACAATAGTGGTTACTCTCATAAAAAAAATCTACTATAAGTGTTAGGCAACCATCTCACCCCCATCAGAATAGACTAACCTCTAACACTCTACGACAGCTCTTGAAGACAATTCAAGTCCATCACACTCAAACCATACAAAAGATGAAACCACAATTTTCTCAACAACCATAATCTTAACCAATAAGAATTTTCATCGAAAATTCGAGTATCACAATTTCACAATTCTCAATATACTATAGTAATAAGTTATTAAAATATGCAAGGAATCATCTCAAGAAAACATTCACAATTTTTATATCAAAATTCTAGGGTTTTGCCAAAACTCAAGATTTCTTGGAACAAGAACAAGTATTAGATGAAAATATGATTTAATCAAGAATGGGAATTTACAAATCAAGAATCTATATAAATTTTACAATAGAAAATGTATTTGAAAAAACGAGGGTTTTAGAAATTCAAGAACAAGTATTCTTTGAACCCAAACATGTATTTTGTTCAAGACTGTGTTCTAATGATAAAGAAACCAAAAACTTATACATATTTATCATATAATTATCAAGTAGATTGAAAAAAATACATAATAATACCCTAAGTCTCAATTAAAGAACTAAAGAAGCATTACCTACTGATTAGCACAAAATATTGTAATTGTTATGTACATTTGCATCCTGTTTATGCTTGGTTTTGTAGTTCAAAAGAGCGGAATTTCAATGTTTGAGCTATTAATGGAGTTTCGATATGTTTGCAGATAAAAAGGGGTTAAATGACGCTAGTTAAATCTACTCATGGTGCTTAAGATGAATGGAGATGAGGAGGAGGCTTGATGATAACTTAGAAGGTGAAGGAACCAAGAAAGTAGCAAAACAAGGGAAAACCTACCGGTAGGCCATACTAGTAGGTTTTGACTACTGGACCTGCACCTACCGCAAACCTACCGGTATTTTTTGCCTACCAGAGTAAAACTTACTAGTAGGTTTTTTGGGATCTACTGGTACATGTTACTAAAATGCGCCAAAATCTGTAAATCAATTTCTGCAACTTTGGGGCTCCCACCTTCCACTTGTCCCTGACACTCCTTACACATAAGACATCCCCTCCTTAACACTTTCTTGTACTTTGAAGGCCTTGGACATAAATGAGGAGAGAGAGAATAGGTGAAGCATGGGAGTGCAGGCTAGGCTTGAGTTATCCTGCCCATTCCATCTTTTCCAGGCCCCCATTGATGGAAGATCCATCACACAAACCCTAGGAGGCTCCATGGACATTTTTGGAAAGCTCCATGACACAATATTGAGAGACACATTGCAATATAGAGAGAGAAGCTCCAAGTAAGAAGATGAAGTCCTAGAGAGAGAAGTTAATATTTTTGCTTTTTCTTCCATCTTGCACTTGTAATTTCTTGTAAGACTAGTTTAAGCTTCATTTAATGTATTTAATGTCATTTATTACAAGCACATTTCAAGTTTAGTCTGACATTTTGGATTTCACCATAAATGAATCGAAGTTCTTCATTGTCAAGCTTAAAAAATGGGTATTGCATATTTCTCTTCATAGTTTATGTTTTCTTGCATTAAGCTAAGTTCCAATCTCCATTTATTCATTATGTCTCTTTACATTATGTATGTCTTTTCCTTTAGTATGAGTAGCTAAATTTTATGTTGGCTAATCCAAGAAGAACTCCTCTTGGGTATGTCATTTCAACTAATTTTCTTTCCTCCTCGTAGTATATGTTGATTCAGGTTGACTGGGTTAAGTGTGGACACCATTGTGAGTTGATTTGACATTCCCACGAATCAATTGAACTTCTAGATACCATTGGAGGAAGGCCTTGAGTTGATTTGACATTCCCATTGGAATGATATCTTCGAATTAGCCAACACTTGTTCCATTTCATTTTCTATCACAAACACAAACTACCAAACTCAAACTTTAAAGATTTTTACATTTTTGCCTTCTTTACTAAAATCACCTTCAATACAATTCACCTCCTTCCCTGAGGAGATAGCCTTGGAATACGATTCCAAGTAAAATATGACACTCAAAGTCTCCCTGCACTTGGGGAGCACTTTTGTTCACACACACACACACACATTTCATTCCACACATCAGTTTTACCAATTCTTGCATTGAACCTGAGTAAGAATGACACTCACCCACATATAAGCCATATACACATTGAGGGTTCATGTGTGGAGCTTAGGAATGACGACGAAGTAAATCAAACATTTTTGGCGTTGTTGCCAGGGAAGGCAAAACGTTAAATCAAGAAGGTGCTTTTCAAACAGTGGTGGTAAGTCCTGTGATCTTCATCATGGACTAATGTATGTTACTCCTTGTATATACTTTTGTTTGTATATATTTTTATTTGTAGATAGTGTGTTATATGTGGGGACGGGATGAACAAAATTGATTAGTTAGACAATCCTTAGGCCCCAACATGAACATTAACCAAGACCCACCCGAGGATGCAGGCGACAATTTTGAGAATGTAGGTGCAAATCTAAATATTCAAAGGGGTGAGGGAGTGCAAGAATCTAGAATTTCTAAT